CAGTAGAGTATAACAACTATTTAAATGGCATTTACATTGCATTAATATTGTAAGTACTCTAGAACTATTTTAAAGTATACTGGAGGATGTGTTTAGGTTATATGCAAATACAACACCATTTTATATAAGGGACTTGAGCATCCAAGGATATTGGTGTCCGTAGGGGTCCTGGAACCAATGTCCCACAAATACCCAGGATTCAACAGAGACCATATGGCCCACAAAGCCAAAAACATTCACTATCTGGCCCTTAACCAAAAAATGTAAATGACTCCTGCCTTATGTAATTAATTTATTTTTCGTTCTTCTGTGACAATAGCCCGATAAATGCATAAAATATCATAGCTTTCCTGGGCATTGAAAGCTTCCAATAATTATCAGATTATCAATCAGGCAGGCTTTGCTGTTTTTGAATTACCTGAAGATTACAGAATACCACTCCTTCTCTTTTTAAAACTTTTTTTCACAGAAGAGTAGAGGAAGGAAAAGGACTTGTTCTGTGCTTTGGCTCTTTCCTACTTACATCTCTAAGGTCAATAATCTAAGTCTTCCAGGCTGTCTGATGATGTGTAGGCCATCTTTTGGCCTATACTGCCGCTGAGTTACCTGAGTCTTGTTAGGGGAAAAAAAGGAGGAACATTTGGTCATGTGGGCTCTGGTTCCATGACATGTGCATTGAAAAACAAACAGGGAGATCATCAGTCATTAGGGAGATGGAAATCAGAACTATAAAGAGATACAACCTCATATTCACTAGGTTGGTGAAAATAAAAGAGATGCACAATAACAAGTGTTGGAGAGGGCATGGAGAAATTGAAACGCTCATACACTGTTGACAGGAGTGTAAACTGATGCCATCACTTTGGAAAATAGTTTGATAGTTCCTCAAAACAGTAAACAGAAAGTTACCATATGACCCAACAATGCTATTCCTAGGTTTACATCTAAAAGACTTGAAAATGTATATTTACACAAAAACTTGGATACAGATGTTCACAAAAGCATTATTCATAACAGCCAACAGGGGGAAGAAACTCAAGTCCATTAATTGATAAATGGATAAACAAAATATGGCACCTCCACATATTACGTGCTATATTACTTGGCCATAAAATATAATTAAATTCTGATACATACCCCCCCAATACAGATGAACCTTGAAAGTATTATGCTAAGTGAAAAAAGTCATATATGATCCATTTACATAAAATGTCCAGAATAGACAAATTCATAGAGACAAAAGGTACATTAGTGGTTGCCTAGCCCTGGAGGGAGGGAGATACAGAGCAGAAGAGAAGGAGAATGGGAGTGGTTGCTATAGATGGAGTTTCTTTTTGGGGTGATGAAAATGTTCCAGAAATAAATGGTAGAAATGGTTGCATGACTTTGTGACTACAGTAAAAACTACTGATGTGTACACTTTAAAGAATGAATTTCATGGTATATGAATTAAATCTCAATAAAGCTGTTATTTAAAAAAATAGGGACACTATTCAGCAATAACAAAAAAATGACCTACTGATACATGCCAAACACGGATAAATGTTAAAATCATTAACACCAAGTGAAAGACAAAACCAGACCTGAGGTTGCCTGGGGTTGAGGGCAGGAGAAATAACTGACTGCAAATGGGCAGGAAGGAACTTTCTGTGGTGATGAAAATGTTCTAAAACTGGACTGCAGTGATGGCTGCGCAAGTATAAATTTACTAAAATTATCAAATTATACATTTACCATAGCTGTATATTATGGTATGTAAATTATGCCTTTAAAAAATGCTGTAAAAATAGGAAAATTTCCTCAACTGCTGGCAGAAGTGTAAAGTGGTACATACAATCACTTTGGGGAGCCATTTGGCAGTCCGTAACCAAACCTGAAAATATGTGTACTCTAGGATGCTGCCATTTTACTCCTGGGTATATGCCCAATAGAGATATGTCCACATATTCAACAAAAGGCAGGTTCAAGAATTTTCGTAATCACCCCGACTTGAAAATAATCTACATATTCATGTATACTGAAATGGATAAATATATTCAGGTATAATCACACAATGGGATTTAGTAATACAGAAGAACAAACTACAAGTACAGGCAACAACAGAGAGGATGCTTAAAATTACTGTAGAGCAACAGAAGCAAGACACAAAAGAGGACATACTGAATGATTTGATCTTTATGAAATTTACTGAACAGGCAAAGTGAATTTCTGGAAGAGGTTACCCTTGGGAACAGAGAGTGATTAGGAAGGGGAATGAGCGGGGAGGCCTGAGATCCTAGATGGGAGTTTCTTGATCTGGGTGCTTGTTACTCAGGTGTGCTGAGGTTGTGGAAATTCATCAAGCTGTGCACGTGTTACAGGAACTGCACTTTTCTGTATATGTAGCTCTCCAATAATACGTTAAACACACAAATAGGACTGCACCTAGATCCCGTTCTCTCTTTGGCTCTAAAAATATCAGAAAACATTTTAATACTCCCATGTCTTAAAGAGTCAGCGATGAGCACTGTGATAATTCAAATAAACCTAGTAGAATGACGAATGAATCTGCCATATTTAAGGACGGTTCTGTCGTTGTGGTCAAACTCAGAGAAGGCCTGTTCAGTGGAAGATCCTGCCCACTTCGACAATTTAACACAATGGAAACCATTATCTTCCCTAGCTTTCTTGGATAATAAAGGCCATGCATTTTCTCTGTACAGCTGATATATCATATGCTTGGCCCATTTTTCAGGAAAGAGCTTATCTGTCACCATCTCAGCAGTTCTGAGCTACCAGATCGTGCACTCACTTGTGATATGAATTCCTCACCCCCACAATCCATGTCCTCTGCATATAACTCACAAAATCCCCAGGAGACCTGCTTTTCTCAGTCAAGTTCTCTTGGGAGAAAACTTTCTAGTTGGTTTATTTTATTTTTTTTAGCTAGGTTAAAAAAAAAATTAGTTCATGTGAGGTTTTCCATGGCAGCCCAACCTAAGATATTTCACAGGTTTGTGAGCTTCTTAATTCTCCCATTGTTCCCAGAGAATGATGCCCTCCACAATCTATTGTCCCCAAATTACTTGAATCTCAAGCCTTTCTCAGGGAACCTGGTCTGACTCACTTCTCCTCACTAACCCCAAACAAAATCACACAGACAGGAAGGAAATGCTCACATTCTTAAACTCCCTTCTCCTCTTCTTTTAGCTCCTTTTCAGAAACATGAGCCTAGAAAATGGGCTCATGATTATCATCAAAGTGCATGTCACTGCAGTTACCTGTGGAATAGAATCCCACTCCCCCTGTTCCTACAAAGTCCATATGCCAATAAACTGTTCCGTTTTGTGAGGGGTGGGGGCACTCTTGAAAGAAAACCTTTCCACATAACGTACCACACTAACAATAGCCCAGTCTACTTCCAGTGTTGACAAACGACACAAGCTCTCCCTTTACTGCCCAAGCTCATAATTTTGAAGAAGGATAGCACTGGGTTGGGAAATATCCCTTTTCGCACCAAAAGAAAATTCCTTCTTTATCCTTCCTCCCTTCCAAGTAATAGGGCTTTGATCAGTCTTGTTCCCCTCAGCATTTCCGGAGCTCTGTCTCACAATTATGTGTTACACCTGAGAGGAGAGGTGTGAGGGTAGAACCAGACATTCTAATTTCCTGGGAGAGAAATTCATATTCATTTCACAGGAGTTCGTAGAGATGGAAAAGACTGAGATGCCTGAAAATGAAAAACTTATGCGTATCAGATATGGGGGTTAAACTGTTGAATAAAGGTTAAAAAAATTAGCAAGTGATTTCCAGTAGGGGGTGAGGCTGGCGTGGGAGTTCTTGCATGGGGTGGATGGTAGTAAGACTGCTATATACTGGGGTGTTGGGAGCAATTCAAAGGTCCTGATGATATGGACAGGAGACAGAGAAATACTGACCAGAAGAGGGCAGTTCCCCAGCAAAGGTCCCACCCTCAAGCCTGGAGACCCTTGGCCCTGAGTGAAAACAGACATTCCTGTCTTCATGACCAAAAGTTGCCTTTTGGCCCACCATACCCCGCTATCCTGTACCCATATAAACCCCAGACCCCAGGCTCCAGAAGCAGACAAGGGGAATGAACAGAAGAGAGAAGAATAGCAGAACGGCATGGTAGGGAGAAGAGAAGGAGCATCTGAATGTCAAGGGACAATCAGAGAGGAGATTGGCCACTGAATGGCCAAACTCCATCATCTTCTCACTCCATACCCCTTCTAGCTCCTGATACATCCTGCTGAGAGCCACCTCCATCACTCAATAAAACCCCCACATTCATTCTTCAAGTCCATGTGTGACCTGATTCTTCCCGGACGCTGGACAAGGACCTGGGTACCAAGAGGTCATTGAGCTGGTTAACACTTAAGCTGTCCACAGACAGCAAGGCTGCAAGAGTCCACTGTAACACATGCCCACTTGGGCTCAGGAGTCACAGACAACAACCCTAGTGCCAGAGCCCCAAGGAACTCGCCCTGGCTCCTGTACCTGCCCGTCTGTGTGCTCCCCCTCCCATAAGGTGTCTGAGAAGCGAATGGTGATCGAACAGATGAGCCATGTTCCTGTTGCATGTCCTTCAAAGGGGCAGGGGTGGGCATGTCCTTCAAAGGTGGGGGGGCGGTCAGGGAACTCTCCCATTTCACTGATATCTGAGCTCAGAGATAAACTCCTGATCAACAAGGAAACACGTAAAAAGTAAGACACTTTCAAAAAGCTTTCTCCAGACATTGCTATAAGTTTTGAAGCTACCAGGCAGAAATGCAGACAGAATTATCTATTATTGGTCAAAAGGGCAATTTCTATCATACCTATTTAACAGAAGTTATTCCCACACCTGCTCCTATTTTTCAGCCAGACAAGCTCCCTTTAGCAGAGAAACATATGCACTTAATGCCAAGTCCCAATTCCTGCCTGGCTTTGAATTCCTTTTCATTTAAAGTAATTTATGATAAGGAATCTTCCTCTGGGTAAGGCACTTAATCCAAATATACCTTTAGAGGCTTCTGTCCCCAGTGGGTTTTCTAAGAAGTCTGTCATGTCGTGGTTCCAGGCATCACGGACGGCGGACTTGGACACCACCCTGTCATGCAGACGCTGCTGTGGTCGAAAGTTATTTCTCAGATACTCCACCGACTTGACATGGTCTTGCTGCTCCGTGGTGAAGATGGAATAAAAAGCCTCAAGCTGAACGGAGAACCAGAGAGGGGAGGAAAAAACAAAACAAAACAAAAACCATCAATTAGAAAAGCGATTTGATCCAAAGCAGGTGGAGGTGATAAGAGCACGAAATGGTAGGAAGTGCCCGATGCCAGGGTTGCTAAACCCAGCAGGACTTGGGTTGCATGCTGGAAACACTGCCAACAGGCTCATCTGGCTGTGGTTTCTGTCCTGCCAACTAACCAGGAAAACACTTCATTTGAGGGCTGTACCACACTCTGAGTTTGTGCCTCCCATGAGAGAGCCCTAGTCTTTCTGCAGTGCCCTGCTGGAAAGGCCTTCAGCATTCTAGGAAGAAGCATAGGGTCACGGTGATACTGTTATGTCCTGGAGCCAGACTGCCTGGGTATGAACACTAACTCCATCACCTACCCACTCTGTGACCTGAACAAGCTGCTTAACCTGAGCCACTATTTTTCCTCAATAAAATGGTGATAATCATAATAATATTTACCCAAAAGGATTTTTGTCAACATTAAGTGCTGACAAAATATTTAATCCAAGTACAGTGCTTAAACCAGTTCCTAGCATATCGTAAGAGCTTCATAAATATTAGGGATTTAATTCTTGGCATCTTCCGACATACTAGTGATCAAGTTTGGCAAAGTCACTAAGTCACTAAATGTGTGATTTGCAAGTCAAACTGCCTAAGTTCAACATTTACCAGATGGGTAATCAGAGACAAACTGTTTAAGTTTTCTGTAACTCAAGTATCCACAACTGTAAAACACGTAATAATACTTACCTTATAAAGTTGTTAGAAGTATTAAAATATATGTTAATTACTTAGTACACAGTTAAGTCCTCAATTAAGGTTAGCTGTTATCATTATTATTAATATGATTAAGAAACATCACTTACAAGACTGCCAATCTAACTTTTATGGAAAGTAAAAGAAAAAAATCAGGGTGCCCAAATCCTATTTCTATTATCAAAAGGGATTCTTTGGGCCAGGTGTGGTGACTGATACCTATAGTTCCAACACTTTGGGAGGCTGAGGTGGAAGATCGCTTGAACCCAGGAGTTCAAGAGTAGCTGGGACAATGAGACCCTGCCTATACAAAAAATACAAAAATCAGCTGTGCGTGGGTGTGCACGCCTGTAGTCACAGCTTCTTGGGAGGCTGAGGTGAGAGGGTTGCTTGAGGCTGGGAGTTGCAGGCTGCAACGCACTATGATTGCCCCACTGCACTCCAGCGTGGGTGACAGAGTAACACCCTGTCTCAAAAACAGAAAAAACAAAAAAGGTATTTTTGTGTGTGTGTGTGGCCTTCAACATTATGATCATCAAAAACAGTAATTCTGGCCAGGCCCGGTGGCTTATGCCTGAAATTCCAGCCCTTTGGGAGGCCAAGGTGGATGGATCACTTGAGGTCAGGAGTGCAGGACCAGCCTGGCCAACATGGTGAAACCCTGTCTCTACTAAAAATACAAAAATTAGCCAGGCATAATGGTGCACGCCTGTGATTCCAGCTACTCGGGAGGCTGAGGCACAAGAATTGCTTGAACCTGGGAGGTGGAGGCTGCAGTGAGCCGAGATCGTGCCACTGCACTCCAGCCTGGGTGATGGAATGAGACTCTGTCTCAAAAAAATAATAATTTTTATTAAAAAATAAAAAAGGTAATTCTATTACATATGAGGAATGGAACAGCGACTGAGTGACAGAGACTTGTCCTCAACAGGCCACAAAGTTATTCTTGTCACCGAAAAACAAAAACAAAAACAAAAAACTGTAATTTGAAATATGCAGCCACCAAAAATACTAATAGGAGAAGAAAATAGAATGAAGAGAAAAGCTGAATGAACTGTTTCTGGCCCATCTGGATGCTCCGGTGCCAAATAAGACCGCTTTCTGCAGGAGAAATGGCCGAATGGTGCTAGAAAGATGCTCTCCGTGCACTGAGTGACTGTCTAGGCTTCGGGGAACCAGAAGGCAGTTAACACTAATGTGGAAAATAAAAAAGGGAAATCACTATCTGGGTTTCGGCAAATTCTAGGTGGTCATCCTGAAGCCTGGAACTAACCCCGACTATTTCTCAAACAGCCTCAGATAATGACACAGAAAATGACCTGCTTCCAAACACTCTGCCCTCTCTTTGCATGAGAAAGCGATGAATTGAGGTAGTGATATTAGCCATGCAAAAATAATTAAGTATATGAATTCACCTATCATTCTACCTCCCCTCCAATTCCACAGCTTATGTAAAATGATAGTAAACCATGGAATTTTTTCTGCCTTTTACATAGAACCAGGACGGATTCACGACCAGCCTAAAAGCCAAAGCAGCCTATGACTCTTGTATTACTTCAATTCTCTGTGAGTGACTTTACCTTCTCATAAAAACTCATAGTGTCTCTAGGTAGAATCTGCCTGCCTTCCCATTCTTTCTGCTATTCCTTCTTTATTTACAGCAAAGGAAAGGTAAGACATGCCAGAAAAATTAGGAAAATTGGATTGATTACTTTGTCTAACTGTGAGTCACTTGAATGAAGACGACAAAAGATGCTGAAAAATCACCTCCACCTCGTGACATGAACTCTCTTGATAGGACTACCAAAGTCAGAACTGAATGCATCAAATGTGAGAGCAGGTTTCTGATTTTCTCAGAGAAAATAACTTCTTAAAATTATATGAGAAGTATTAACAAAGACCCTCTGGAGACAGCCCAGAAAAAGACCAATTGAAATGATTAAAAAGATGGAGAATAAATCCTGTGAGGAAAGGTTAAAGGAAGTGGAATTGTTTAGCCTGAAGAAAAGGTGAGTAAGGAGTAATTTCATAAAGCCCCTCATATGTGGAAGAAGCTGACCAGCTCTTCTCCGTGTCCAGAGAAGACTAAATAAAAGGAAATTGGCTTAAATTAAAGGCTTAGAGATGTGAGTTTAATAGAGAGACATTCCTTAACTTTCAGGATGACTTTTTAGAGAAACGGACTGGGCTGCCATACATCGTGAATTAGACCGGAAATTTTCCGGAAGAGACAGCCATCTGTCCCAAAATAGTTTAATCTCTGAGATGCCAGAAAAGAATGGCCTGGAAAACTGTCTCAGCAATATGACTCTGAAGTTTGTTTATTCTCTAGAATACTTGCTTCTTTCATAGCCAGCATTAAATTCTCCTAAAAAGTTTATTTCTGAAGCCTCAGGAAAGAACAAGTCACATAACTGTAAAAATGAGGCAGGTTCTGAATTTAACACAAAAATGCTTTCACTTAAATTGCTCTTACAGCTTAATGACATGCTATGGTTTAAAAGCATGGCGGCTTCCTTGTTATTAACTTAACTTGCCCCAAGATTTTGAAGAAAGGATGTGATGGTTCTGGGAGTGAACTGATGACCTGAACGATATTATATTGTCAACCGGATCACAGTTGCTCTTGACAGTCATACAAAAGAGGGAAAGGAGCACAAGCTTAGCATACTCATCAAATGTCCTTCCGTGGGTTGGCGGCATTCACTAAAACCCTGTCATTTTTCTAAGTTAAATGAAATTCGCCAGTGGCCTGTCTCTTTGGTAACTGGCATGCTTGGCCAATGAGTTAAAAACCTCCAGGAGTCTTGGATTGGTGAGAGGAGTCTACATTTCTCACTTTGGCAAGTGGGCTGTGATGAAATCTACTGATACATCATTACACGGCAACTTCAGTCTGTCTCTGGACCCCAACCCTTGCCTTGGACCTCCACTTTGTTTGATTCCAAAAGGTGCCATAAGCCCACCATGAGAAAGTGTCCCCTAGAGTTGTGTAACATGGAAGTCATGCCGGAGCCATAGAAAAAACCATACAAAGTTGTGTCTTTCTGGGCCTTTGACTGGTCCATATGTTTGGTGCGTAATCTGTTCTACTTTTCTAGATCTGGTTAATAGCTAAACAGTGATCCTTGAAAAATATATATGAGATCACGTCATGCCTCTGTTCAATACTTTTTAACAGCCTCCCATCCTTAATGGTGGGGCCCTTTTGATCTGGCCTATGCCTACTTCTCCAAATTCAAAACCCTTACCCCTGCTACCTGGGTACAAAATTCTGTTTTTAAACCCTACTTGCTAAATGTGTGACCTTGGTCAAATTATTTAATCTTTCTGTGCCTCAGTGTCTTTATTTGTACAATGGAGGTAACAGCACTACCTCCTTCTTGTGGTTTTTGTAACTATTCAATGAGTTGTGATATATAAAGTATTGGGAATAATTCCTGGCACACAGCAGGTACTCAGTAAGTACTATCACTACTGTAATTATTATTTTATGAGGACTGTGGTAACTACAATTGTACTCTAAGCTTACGACAACTGTAAAATGCTCTATCAACCTTCCCTTCCTTATCCCCCTTGTATTTATCAAACCTACTACATACCAGGTACTTCTTTAAGTACTTTACAGGACATTATTTTGGTTTCCAACTTCTTTTTAGCTTAAAGTAACGACATTAAAGTAGCATTACAAGAACACTCTTATATCGTGAACACTAGCAGGCAATATTTACTGGGTGCTTATTACACGCAAGGCATTGTGCTGAGACTGGTATGTGCTTTCTCTCACTTAATCCACAGAAATCCCATGAGGCTGCTGGTAATATTATGATTAATAGCAGTATTAGTGTTAATGTTACTGACTAGTAAGGAAATTGGGCTTAGAGGCATTGAGTAACTTGCCCAAGGTCACTGATATGGTTTGGATCTGTGTCCCCACCTAAATCTCATGTGGAATTGTAATCCTCAGTGCTGGAGGAGGGGCCTGGCGGGAGGTGATTGGATCATGGGGGCGGAATTCCCTCTTGCTGTTCCTGTGACAGTGAGTGAGTTCTCATAAGATCTGGTTGTTTAGAAGTGTGTAGCGCCTCCCCTTTCTCTCTGTTCTTTCTTCTCTAGCCATGTAATGCATGCCTGCTTCCCGTCTGCCACGACTGTAAGTTTCCTGAGGCCTTCCCAGTCATGACTCCTGTAACGGCCAATTAAACCTCTTTTCTAA